TTTTAAAAGAGAAGCTAAAAAGGGGAGTCCATCACCAGCCTGGTATTTAAGCTCATAATCAAGATGACCAGCATAATATTTAAGATAGAAGCCGCTGAAAAGTATTGATCATCTCATGTATAGGCAATCTTATTCACATATGGCAAAGATTACAGGCATACACATGAGAGCATCAAATCCTGTTGCTTGAAAGTACTAAACATTATTATTTAAAAATAGTAGGCAGTATTATGTAACTAAGCAAATATCTTCTCAGGTCCTGGGAATGATTTTCTTCCATTTCTGCCATCTACCTTCTCTTCTGCAGTGGTGGTCAGGCTTCCCCATTACCTAAGGGTTCTCCTTGACCATTTAGAAAGATAGAGATGGCAATCACTTAATTAACTGCATCATTATCTGCTAAGTGGCTTCACCAGGGAGATCTGAGCTCATTTTTGGGATCTTTACCTATTTTATTTTATCACTCTACCATCTTCAGCCTGCTATGTTTTACAGAATTAAGAGTAAGCATGCTAACTTCTGACTTTCTCTCTCTTTCTTTCTACACGCGCACACACACACACACACACACACACACACACACACACACACCCTCTTTTCCCCTCTGTGTGCTCAGTCTTGCATTATAGAAATAATGTATATCCAGAATTTCTAGATATATGGTAGAAAAGTTTTCGGGGTTTTTTTTTAAGGCAGAGTTTCACTCTTGTTGCCCAGGCTGGAGTGCAATGGCACAATCTCAGCTCACTGCAGCCTCCATCTCTCAGGTTAAGTGGTTCTCCCACCTCAGTTTCCCCATTAGCTGGGATTACAGGTGCCCACCACCATGCCTGGCTAATTTTTTGTGTTTTTTTGTGGAGACGGGGTTTCACCATATTGGCTAGTCTGATCTCAAATTCCTGACCTCAGGTGCTCCACTCGCCTGGGCCTCCCAAAGTTCTGGGATTACAGGCGTGAGCCATCAGGCCCAGTAGGAAAATTTTGAGCGTATCTTTAGTCTGCCATCTTTCTAGAACTACAAGCTTGTCTTCATTTGCCTCTCTCTTTGCTTGGCCTTGTGTAGAGTTGGCTTCATCCTCAGGTTCTACAATACAGCTTCTAGAAAGCTCTAGGCTTCTCGCTTATGGTACCAAGACGACACCAACAGTTCCAGGTGTTTACATCAACACATTTAGAGGAAAAGTGATGGTCTCTTCTGGTAACTTTATTGAAAAAGAAAATAATGTCACTTTCCTGGAAACTCCCTGGATCTCACTGGTTGACATTGGGCTGTATGCCCCTGAGCCAGTCACTGTGGCTGGGGATGGCTGAAGCCCTCAGGGAGCTCGCCCCTCTATCTGGAGAGGAGGTCCACACTCTTCAAGGCACATGGGTGATAATGAAACAGAAAGTCATGGTATTCTGTCCAGAAGGAGTGAATGTGTGCTGGACAGCCAGCAACAGATGTCTCATTTTACTTTCCTTTTTTTGTGAGACTGAGTTTCACTTTGTCATCCAGGCTGGAGTACAGTGGCCTGATTTAAGCTCACTGCAACCTCCACCTTCCAGGCTCAGGTGATCCTCCCACCTCAGCCTCCCAAGTAGCTGGGACTACAGGTGTATGCCACCACGCCTGGCTAATTTTTTTTTTTAATGGAGATGGGGCTTCACCATGTTGCCCAGGCTGGTCTCAAACTCCTGAGCTCAAGCAATTCAGCTGCTTCAGCCTCCCAAAGTGCTGGGATTACGGGCATGAACCACCACACCCAGCCCATTTTACTTCCCTTTTTGCTCTTATGTGGCCACGTGTTTAGTGAGATGTGTCCAGGTGCTTGTTATGCCAAAATGTAGGGGTTTGCAGTGGTGGGCTCATTAAATGGGCATCAGGAAAAAGATATGCAATATCTTCATCTGCAGGCAGAGAAGTTGTGTTATAATGTTATTTAGTTATGTCTGTTATTAGGACTTAAAAGCCCTGTGGGTGTAAAAGTCAAGATAGAAACCAGAGAGCTTATAGTACCTGTGGTTGATGATACTAATGCTATCATAAATAATAATAACACAGTTGTATAGAAACTTACCATTTATAGAACACTTTACACTCATTTACATTTAACGGTATATGTAAGGCAGGTGTGAATTTCATTCCTAGTAGCAGAATCCCCACAAACATACCAAACAACCCAGTAACTTGTAGAAGTAACAGCTTGTGCTAAAATTAAAATGTTATTTTGGCATGTAAGTAAATATGTGCTTCAAATTATAACACATTAGCTACTCAAAGGTCTGTGTAAAAAAAGATATTTATGATAACAAAAATTGGAAACTCCATGAATACTGAACACTAATAGAATGTTTTAATAAATCATGATGTATCTACTCCATTGCATTATTAGTAGATGATTTTAAAATGTTGGCCTTAAAGAATGTCTCACGACCGGAAGAGATCATTATATAAGTGATAAAAACTATTTAAAAATCTGAATGAACCTATATATTCAGTATTTTCCAAAAACAAACACATAGGAATGCAAAGCATGTGCAAGCCTAGGGTAATGCTGAGAATATTTGGAAATGTTATAGCAGGGTCCAGCCAATCAGAATGAACACACATTCTCCATTGGTATGGCCATGCCAGTATTTACTGACTCATTATCCTCAAAAAATCAACAGTGCTAAGACTATGAGGTTGAGTTTTCTTTTCTTCTTTTAGTCTTTAAAAATTTTTTTGTGTCTTTCTCTGTTTTCTAAATTGTGTACACTGAGAATGTGTTGTTGATAATAATATGATGCCTTAATATTCCTTTTAGTGAAAGTAATTTATAATTTCTTAGAATTAGACAGTGTTCTCTGGATTCCTTTCCGTCTCTGTAGCCCTTCCTCACACTTCACTGCATTTGTCTCGTTTAGTCCATGCAATTTACAGAGAATTCTGGGAATGGGTCAAAAGATGTCCTTTTTGAACTGCCCAATGAAGCCAAACTAAATCAACACCATAAAAAAAGAAAAAGTCTACCGTCTCTTAGTGCTTATTGGTGTGAAACCACAATGCAACCAGTTATATTTTTAGTAGAGGAGTCATGCAGTCCAGCCTACCTATTGACTATAGAAATCTCTTCTCTGTCAACAGAGGAAAATAATTACAGCATTCATTTAACTTTTACTATGCACTGGGCTCTGTTCTAAGCCCTTCTCTGATATTATTTTCTTTCATCCTCACAATCACCCCACAAGTGTTGCCGTTATTGCCTTCATTTGATAGACGAGGCTTAGAAAGTTGAAGTAATTTGAGCAAGGTCACACAGCTCGCCGCAGTGGAGCTGAGATTTGATCTGAGAGTCTGACTCCACAGCTTGTGCTCTTAATCAGTTCGTTATCCTACCACCATTATTTCATGTGTGTGCAAGAGTCAGCATTGTTCTGAAAATAGGAGTGCAGACACACTATACTTACACACACACACAGGAATGTAGTAGATGCTTAAATGATAGATAAGGATACTTATTATTATTAAAGCCATTGGCATTTTAAAATCCTTCTAGGAGACAATGTTTGTAGCATAGGACATAGGGCCTCTCGTTTTCAGGGTCTTCTTGCTTTCTACTCTGTGCAGTGATAGCTACAATCTTTAAGCCTCGGTTTTCTTTCCCATTGAATGAAGAAAGGAATGATACCTTTCAGCGCAGTGTGAAGTAACCAAGTTAAAACATATAAAGTGACCGGGCGTGGTGGCTCACACCTGTAATCCCAGCACTTTGGGAGGCCGAGGTGGGCAGATCACAAGGTCAGGAGTTTGAGACTAGCCTGACCAATATTGTGAAACCCTGTCTTTACTGAAAATACAAAAATAGCTGGGCATGATGGCATGTACCTGTAGTCCCAGCTTCTTGGAAGGCTGAGGCAGTTGAATTGCATCCACCCAGGAGGCGGAGGTTGCAGTGAGCAGAGATTGCACCACTACACCCCAGCTTGGACGACAGAGTGAGACTTTGTCTCAAAACAAAACAAAAACCAAACATATAAAGCCTGGTACAAAGTAAAAGCTCAATAAATATTGGTTGTTTCTATGTCTTGTTTCATCTCTAAGTTATTTCACTTAGAGATGGAAATATCTGCCCCAGGAAGCGACAAAAAGAGGTTTTATACCAGTTTATCAGCAAGGCTCCCATGACGTAGAAAAGGAAGGCACAGAATCTCAAACCATAAAGGTCAGCATGGAGCATTTAGTCATCATCTTCATTTCCGTGCCTGATATTTATTTGCAGTATATTTTCCAGATTTTTCCCCCTTGAATAGCCTTCTCCTAAAAGACCCTGCTTTGCTGTGTAGTTTGGTCAAGACAATCCCTAATCAATTTTACATACACTGCTCTTATGTTGTTTTAAGATTAGAGTGAATTTCAGCAGGCAAGGGTTTCCATGATTGTTTATAAGCTCTGTCCATTCATAATATGGCTGAAGTGCAGAGAAATGTGAACAGCGGCTTGAAGTTAACAAGGTACGAGGCTAATGGGGCACTAATTGAGCAGTGAACGCCTAATTAGGAATCACAGAGGGCTTGAGCTGGCATGTGGGGAGTGAAGGTTCCCAGTGAGTGCTGAGTTGTGGATTTTGGAAAAAGGACTAACTAAGCTTGGATGTTTCTACATTCTTCTTGCAGCCCAGTGGGCCTTGTCATTCCAAATTTTCTGGGCAAATGGCAGCTGCTGGGAAAGAAATTCCGACTTGTAGGGTTGAAAAGATGATAGGAGAAACTGCTCCCTTTCCTCCTCCAGTCCCCACCCCCCACCGAGGATGAAGAGGACAAGCGATTGATTTCGGAGGCAGGCGATCTCTAAACCATTGTGCACTCCCTGATAATTTGGGGAGCTGCTAACATTTATGGAAATGGGAATATATTTAAAATTCAAACATATAATTTCTAGCTATTTCCAACCTCCCATATGTGTATCGCCAAAAGTGAATTTTGAGAGAAGTAGTGGGAAAATACTGCCTGGGGATAGAGAAAAGTTACCGCAGGAGTCTGGTTTCTATATTAATTTATTTCACAATAAGAGCAAATTCCTTTCCCTAGGGGAGTATTTGACAGAGTAATTGCACTGGGGAACAGTCACTATTTCATTTTGTTTTCTTTCTCTCTTTTAAACTTTCTTTGTAAAGCAGAGTGTTATAAATCTTCCTGAAAGAGCAGCTTAAACAAGATATGTGGGCTGTGTGATATAGGTTTTATTTGTGTGCGTGTACATGTATATGATGAATGTATACACATTCATTCATTCATTGTTGGATTTCACAGTGACATTTTCAACAATTAAAAGTGAAAGTTAAAATTTGTGAGATTAGAGGCACTGTGAAATGCTTCTTTTCCAGATTTAGAGAGTGGTAAGAGAACATAAGCCATCCACATATTACTGATCAGGAACAAAAGCCATAGAACTAAGCTCAACTTGCATTGCCTCTGACCCAAGTAGTAATGATTTTCTTATTTATATAGATTTCTAAACATTTTAATTGTATCTATAATACAAATTTTAGTCAACAAACTCGTATACAATGTGATGGTTTTAATGGTCAATACCCAGCTATTAAAAAGTATTCTTAAAAGTAGAGAGATCTGAGAGGCATGTCTTTCTGAATGCTAGCCTTTGATTGAGACCTGCACTGCAGCATCCTGTAAAACTCAGCAGCCTCCTGGTTCCGGAATCCTTCTCGCCATCCCCAGGGTCTTAGTACTGTCACAGGCTCTTGTTACTGCCTAGAAAACCTCTAATAAACCCAAGGTTTAGAGACTGAAGCTGCTGTTCCTCCCAGGAACATTTGTAGCTGCACAGACAACACAATTCGAAGGGACAGATTCCACTATTAGAAGAAACGTGGAATTTCATGTGTGAGGAGGATGTATTTCAGGTGGGAGGTTTACTGGCATACTTCAGCTATTACCATGAACAAAGCACACATGTAATGCTCACATGCTGCATTCTGTAAAGAAAACAAATGCTTACAAGAATAAAAGCATTACAAAAATTTTAAAAAGTAAGAGAGGTAATCAAGGGCACTGGTAACAGAAGAAGAGAAAAATAAATTGATCCTCAAGGGAAGAGTAGCACTTCAGACAGATATTAAATTATTATTACCATTATTTTCGTTACTGCAAAGACAATATAACACCAAGAAAGTTAGGAAATTGACAAAAATAGTTCTCATACTCCTTTTCCCAGTAGTAGGAAAATTATTCTTTAAAAAAAATTATGTTCCAACAATCTCATTTTCTAGATTAAGAAACTGTTATTTTAAAAAACTCATGTACTCATGATTACACAGTTCAGATGGAACTCATCAAGACTGACAAACAGAACCTACTTTTAAGGAAGACTTATAAATTATTTTGGAAAGTACCTTGCTGATTTTCAAGTGCCATCAACTCATGCCGGCCTGTGTCCAATAAAGACTCCATGATGGAAACATTCCATTGGATTGCATTCTCTTTGGCTTACCATAGGAATGAGAATCCTTTGCAGGCATCTCCATAGCCCTAGAACAAATTATGAAAGGAAAACTGGAACAGATGCCAGCATTCCTAACTTGAAGCCTGACTCATCCTCTCCTGCACTGTGCTCCTTTCATTGACTGAATTGCTGAGTTGGGAATGGATGCTCTTCATAGTTTTCTCTGCATGATTTGTCCTCTTAGATAAGGGTGGTGCTTCTTTTCACATGAAAATAAATTTAGGTTGGGAACAAAAAGAAGCAACTCTGTGGGGAAGTTAATATTCTGGCCTTTGATAGCAGATGAGGAAGCTAAGGCTCAGAAGGTTGATTGGGGAGATTGACTGGGCCTTTACTCTTCCAGGCTGGGTGCAGTGGCTCACACCTCTAATCTCAGCACTTTGGGAGGTTGAGGCGGGCAAATCACAAGGTCAAGAGATGGAGACCATGATAGGCAACATGGTGGAACCCTGTCTCTACTAAAAACACAAAAATTAGCTGGGTGTGGTGGCACACACCTGTAGTCCCAGCTACTTGGGAGGCTGAGGCAGGAGAATTGCTTGAGCCTGGGAGGCAGAGGTTGCAGTGAGCCAGGATCGCGCCACTACGCTCCAGCCTGGCGATAGAGCAAGAGTCCATCTCAAAAAAAAAAAAAAAAAAAAAAAAAAGACACTCTTTTCTCTTGAGTCCAAACAGTATCGGAATCTCAACACAGTGCAGTTACTACCAACCAATAGAAACTGACCATTGTGTGTGAAACCTATTGGCCCCCAGAACTGCAAACCTTCCCTGAAGTAGGCTTATATGGTGGGTAGAGCCCTGAACATCTGCCTGGATCACTTATGTGAGTTTGGGAGCAAATAGCTTAAACTTTCAGAGCATCGTTCTCCATATTATAAAGGGGAACAATCCTATCCCCTATCCAGGGCTGGTGTGAGGGACACATGAAATAGGAAAACACATGTAAGGACATCTGGTAAGCTGTTCAAATTGAAGGATCATAATAGTAATAAGTTTTACAGATGAGAAAGATTGGTGTGCTTACACAATTCATCACTCCTTTAGGTCTTTACTACTTTTAAGCCTTCTAAAAATAAGATTTAATATGCTTTCATTGTTAATTGTCTCATTTACAGCCTAGACACACAGAGGCAGGTATAGTTGTTAGAACTGTGGCTGAAGTTCCACTAATGATTTTGTTTGCAGTTGCTCCCTTTCTACGTAATAATGTCACCTTTCGTGGACACATGAGGGTTCACTTAATTACTGTGAAGTAGGTCCCTTTTTGTTGCTTGTGTAGTATAGCTTCATCTGTTTCCATGCTCATAGTGTGAGGAAATTGAGGAGCAGGACTATTTACAAAAGCACGGGTGAGGTGAAAGACTGACACCAAAGGAAGTGCCCTACCCCAGGGCTAAAATCAGTGGGGGAACTGTTACCCCCTGGGCTTGCAGAGGGACAGGAGAGGGTGGTCACTGCAACCTGGAGAAGGTGGCTATTTAGAACCCCAGCCTTTGGCAGAGGGATAACTGCAGCTGGTGCCACCCTTTGACCCAGGAGAAAGGGAACCAGAGCATAGAAGGCACAGGAGCTGTTGGTAGGATCCATGTGCTCTGTCTCTTGGGCACAGAGAGGTGGGGTTGGAGAAACTGGGGTGCACAGATGACACCCGGGGCAGTAGGCATTCAGAAGGGGGAGCAGAGTGGTGCTGACAGGAGTTAGATTCATTTGGGGCTATGGAAAGATGTAAAGAGTAAAGAAGAAAGAGGACCCTGTGACCCCAAAGTCTTGACCATCCAGTGGGTAGCATGTGGTCTTATATTGTGGAGAGATGAGAGACTGAATCACTCATCCGGAGGCAACGTGGAGACCCAACATGAAGCTCTGAAACCAACCGTACATTCCTCTAGGGTCTCCAAGCTCCGCCTCTGAAGAGCGTGGGATTACCAGAATAATATCTGTACTGAAACTTCCTTAGTTCCTAATGGAAACATCGTCTCAGGACAGTGATATGATCCTCTATCCTCAGTGTTTTACGTAGGATTGAGCTTTTTGAAAAGTCACTCAAAGAATGTTTCTTTGCTTAAGTTTCTTCTTGAGATAATGATGATGATGATTGTGTTGTTCAGAGAGCCTGCCATGAAGGTCTTGAAAATCAGTATTTCTCATGGACGAGAACTAAGCCACCTTCAACCAAACTAGTAGGAATGTGTGTTGAAAAGGAGGATTTCTGGGTCCCAGGCAGGACCTACTGAGTCAGAATCAGCAGAGAGATCCCCATCATTTGTTTAATGTAGGACCTCCAGGTCATTCATGGGCACCCTAAGTTTTGAGGGCCCCGGGTGTCTTCTGTGCACCCCAGTTTCTCCCCACCCCAGCTTTAGACATTTGCCCCAGAGAGCACAGATTTCCTCTAGGTCTAAGTGATTGTGATTACCACATGTGATTGTGACTGGGAACTTTGTGGAGGTTTGGTTCAAGCATCTATCCCCTTTTGCTGTTTAAGCTAATTCTATTTCCCCTGTATGAATCACTTACATATATATTTAAGCCACCTCAGACATTTTCAGAAGTTGACAATGTATGTATCATTAAATAATAAAGTTTGGCTATTATATTAGAAAGTAATAGTTTCTTTTTCCTCCTGCTGACTCACAGACGCTTGTTTCAGACCCTGCTCTTTTATTTTTAATATGAAAAATTTAACTTTAACTTTTGGGTTAACTTTCTTATCAAGTTACTTTTAAACTTACACCTTTGATTTACAAGCTCACATTCTGACTTATTTATTTACATAGTACAGTTTGACTGTGCCTACAGTCCCAGCACCCCAAACCACCTACACTTATATTTAAAAATGGGTCTTATTTCTTGAGTAGCTTCCTTGGGGTCGGCAGGGGGTCTCTGAGTACAGAAGATGAGGGTCATTGGGAAGGGTTCTCAGAGATGCTGTGTGAGGCTGCCATGGCCGGCTTTATGCCAAACATATTTCCCAGGGGTTTTTGGAAAATAAAGATACAGTGAGAACATTCGTCTGTTTTCAGTGCCTGGCATACTTGGTTTAAGTCCTGGCTTTGTCACTTACTGCTGTGTAGATAACTATGAACATATTTCTAAACCTCTTGAGCTTTATGGTTGCAGAGATTTCACTGGAGGAAATAGCAGTAGACTGGATTAATTGAAGACGCTGTAGCCCCACAGCCTTAGTGGTAGATTGGATTAATTGAAAATGAGGAATGAAGCCAAGATGACACTGAGACTGTGTTTTGGAGGTCAGAAAAGGGGCTTGTTCCCCGGAGCACCCTCGGGGAGTTGTAACATATTTGGGGGCTGGCCACCACAAAATTAATTAGGTAGAGCCCACTTTCAGCATCCTGTGAGCTGCTTTCAGGTTGGCATCCTATTTCTCTGTACAGGTGCCCATTGACCTGTCTTAGTGGTTAGCACACTATGACCAGTGGACCAAATCTAGCCTGCATGCCCAATTTTTGCAAATAAAGTTTTACTGGAGCACAGTCACATTCATTCATTCATTCATTCACACGTTGTCCATGGCTGTGTTCATGCTACAACAGCAGAGTTACATAGTTGGGGCAAAGACCAATGGAACACAGAGCCTAAAATATTTACTGTCAGGTCCTCTAGAGAAAACATTTACTGACCCTTGTTCCAAGACAAGAGAGCTTTTTTGGCCCCACCTGTCCCTTTCCCCAGGGCCCTAGGAGGAGACTGGCTGATCTGATGCATGCTCCTGATGAAGTTGTTCCTGGTGTCAGCCCTCCCCGGCAGGGTTCTCTTGTTAGCATTAGCCTAACGTGGCTCCTAAGAAGGAAGTGATGTTGAAACTGACAACAGAATCAGTGGGGGTGTGTTTGGGATTCTGGGGAGTTTGTCATCACTGAAGTCATATACATTGACAACACACTTACAGAGAATGAACATATCTGTACTGTTGGTAGAAATAAAAACAGCTTTTACTTACAGCTCTCCTTTCTGGTCGTTAGAAGCAGCTTCCTCACATTAGAAGAGACGCTGAGACGGAAGTGAAGACAGCAGACAGCTGGGGAGTTGTAGGGCTGCAGCTTAACCCCCTTTGAGCCGATTGGGTATCTCCTCGCTGTCCTGAGCACTTAACCGGCTAAAGGGTGCAGGGAAGTTCTTAAGGCTAATGAAAGTTCAGTAAGGAAAGCTGAGTCTTGCTGCTGCTTAGGTTAAATGTTAACCAGATGTGCTGGGCTGCCTTTGAGACACTTTCTTCCTTACCCCCACCTTCCACCCCACTTTCACCCCACCCTCTGGTGATGATAGAGACCCACTGACAGACAGTTTCAGCGTAAAGTTGTGGGGCTGACTCCCCCGATCATCCCAGTCTCTTCAGCCTGGGCGAGGACAGCACCCAGTCCTCCAACCCTCCCACCCATCCCCACCCACGCAGTAGCTCCTTCCGTTTTGCCTGCTTCTCATACACTTCCACTGCTTTGGATGCCTCACTCCTTCTGCCAGGGCCTCCTTCATCTCCCTTCAAACCTAGATCTCCTGTCTCCTTGCTGTGAATCTTTCCTTGGCTCCCCCAGACAGAATCCTTCTCTTTCTGTGACCCCAGAATATTGTTCGTCCTTTGTTGTAGCTTCACTCAGATGGTGTATTTGCGTTTTTATCCCTTGCCTCCCTGGAAAGTGGCAAGGACTACATCTTTGTCATTTTTGCATCCCCAGTTCCCAGCACAGTATCTGGCACGCAAGAGAGCACCAGTAAATGCAACGCACTAAAGCAGCAAGTTTAGAAGCATGAGTTAGAATGTGTGGGACCCTGGACAAGTGACTTAACCTCTTTAAGCCTGATTTCTTCACTCTCATGTGGGAATAACAACCATTCCCACATAGGATTGTTAGGAGATTAAATGAACTGATTAGGTAAGGGGCTTAGCCCAGTGCCTGCTGCATAGTAAAGACTCAATAGGTGTTAGCTCATGCAATTACTAATAATACCCTCCGCTAT